ATTATCCGGCTTCTTGAATGTCTCGAATGGCTGGTGCTCAAGCGCGGAGATCGGTGGCAGTGCTTTTTCAAATATTGACCCGGGGTTGGATAAGCTATTGTGGGCCTTAAACAACGTGTAGACTCTCACGTTCAACATTGTTCAGCGGATTCTCAAGTGAACACAGCGATTTCGCAGAAAGAACAGATCTCCCCATGCCCGTGCGTGATGCCTTAATGAATCTGATTCAAGTATCAAAACTAGTACAGTGGAATTAAAGTGTATGTGACGCTACCTGACCGGGAAGACAAGCTGGTCCGTCGATCGTCACAAGCAGGATTGTTCGGCGAGTCGAGCATACCAATCGCATCGCTCAAGTGTGAGCACTTTCGCCTGTTCATACTTCAAAATTCAGACGCGTCCAACTTGCGCTGCTAGAGTAGATCTGACACGCTCGCCTGGCATGTCAGATGTCCGGAGTTCAAACTCCGGCACGGACCTTGGATGCTTACTGGTGATGAGCTTTTGTAAGAGCAAAACTCGAGCCCAGTTCTCCCTGTCAAGACCATATAAACCATGGCTTCGCATACACCATTAACTCGTAGTTTTCACCCTATAATTTCAGCTCATATACTACCGCTATTAGACGATTAAAGTGTACAGCACGCCCTTCTATTCTGTCCTCCTTCAAATCTCGTCCTGGAACTACTCGACTCTCGTAACATCCACTTTGGTGTGGACTCACCAGAATTATTAAGCCAGGACAAAAGGACGACTACTCAAACGAGAGTGATGTGAATACACGCAACACACATCCCGCATTCCCCACAATAAAAACCATCTATCAAGTCCGGTATTCGAGTCGGGCGACGTTATTGCGCCACGAATGGACCAATTCACTGAACACAGGGTTCTACAGACGTTGTTCAAACGCCAAAAGTAAAAAATGTTAACTTCACGGGAAAGAGAAGGCGGTTTTTGAGTGACATAGGAAGGGAGGTATCGGTTAGTACTACCACACAGTCCGAAGTGACTCTGAGCGCTCGGTCGACCCAATTTGAAGGGTAATGGGACTGAATGATAGGTCTTTTGGCTGCAAAGCGCTTCCTCTGATACAATGCGGGGATAGATTATAGGGTTTTGGAGTCACACAATCGCTTAAACGAAGGAGACGGCGGTGGCGATATCCTAACATATAAGGTGCACATGCACCTGAGACGCTACCCGGAGAGTGGATACCACAGCAGTCCGTTTACAGACATGAGCAAGAATGCCTGAGAAATAAGCCCTTATTTTAAGTAAGGGTGCTAATATGGTGAAATGTGAAATGTTTGCAAGTCAAAGCAAGGACGGCAGAAGTGCTGTTTTGTTGAGATACGGAGCGAGCATCTGAAAAAAGAAAGCCGTCGTGAGTCGTGTACTGGCAGGCTTGGGTATAAAGAAAGCGCGCTCAAATATGGAACAGTCAGAGGTAGGGTAAGTGTAGCTATCGATGGAGTGTTCTAAATGGGTAAATAATCAGTGCGTAAGAACCAATCAAAGCGTTGCGGACAAGAGACTCCAAAAACGACCTCACAACCCCGACCCTGAGAAGCTAGTTTCTCGCTGGTTTCCGAAAAGTTCCCTTGAAGAACCTAGTCACCTTTGACTCATTTCGATTCTCCTGCCTTCATTTAATACCTCTTTTTACTTTCTGCACACGCATGACATTTATGGCTTTGGTGCTGCTTCTTATGCAGCCAGGATTCTTATTTGGTAAGAAGGATTATGATAATATCAAATACAGCTATAGCCTGTCTGCACTTTTGACGCTTATTTGCACCCGTATTTGTTTTTGACACGAATAGGCTCTTCTTTTCGCGTCAAAGGCCTTTTAAACTATCGAACAGTTGGTCGCATACATTTACGATTGCTTGCATCACACAGTTATAAACCACAATTCAGTTGATGGATAAGGTGCAAGTAATGGAAGTATTATCGGGACATCTCTAGGTTATGCTTCCAGTGCTGCATTATATATATATATGTATATGGAACAAGCCTTCCAATTGTGCGTGGTTTGAAGTCACGGGGCGTAACTGATTTGAGCAAATTATTCCGATTGTTGGAAGATAGCCCAGTGACAGCTCTGTGTCAGATAGCCAAAGCGTTTACTTTTCGTTGTCATCCCGAACACACCGAGTCCTCTGTTACACCAGCACGCTTGTCATTCCGAAATTATTTGATACCTTATGGTCCCTAGGCAACGCATTCTCCCCTCTAATTAACTTGCCACATCGTCTTTAGGTGAGCGAAAGTCAAGCTTCAGACGACTACCATCAAAACGTATCTGCCATCCCAATCATGTGCAAACCCTCAAGATAATTTCCTAAGAACTGCTCCCGTCGCCTCGCTTCAGTTATTCTAACGCCCCCATATATTATACAGCCAGTGAAGAACAGCTGAAGGAAGTAATTTTTGCGCTTACTGGATCTACAAAGTTTTCTATAAGAGCCAGCTCAGTAATAGGGACGATTTGAAGTTCTAGGCTCAGGATGTGAATCGCAGTCATGCCTTATTTCAAACTTTTTTTCAAATCCTGTAATTCCTCTTCGCATATTTATCCCATTTTTTGAAAAATGACATATTTCCCCCTACTCTAATTATTAGGCAGACAACGGAGTCTCAAAACACACTTAAAATTAAGTCTTTTGGAAAGAGCGCGTTACACTTACAAATAAGTTATCATGGTAGCCTACCTGCCCCTGAAAAGAACTACAAGAAAGTACCAGGCAGCCTTTCCGGATTCGGGCTTCACTGTTACCAAAACAGAACCGGTAACAGCGTGCGGCCTACCAGCCTTGAGCGCGACGAAATCTTCCAACAAAAGGTCACGAAGAACGCTGCCTACTTTCGCCTGTTTCGATACCTGATGCCACTTATAATTTTTACCTCGATCCACACGATGTGTTCTAAATGGGTAAATAATCAGTGCGTAAGAACCAATCAAAGCGTTGCGGACAAGAGACTCCAAAAACGACCTCACAACCCCGACCCTGAGAAGCTAGTTTCTCGCTGGTTTCCGAAAAGTTCCCTTGAAGAACCTAGTCACCTTTGACTCATTTCGATTCTCCTGCCTTCATTTAATACCTCTTTTTACTTTCTGCACACGCATGACATTTATGGCTTTGGTGCTGCTTCTTATGCAGCCAGGATTCTTATTTGGTAAGAAGGATTATGATAATATCAAATACAGCTATAGCCTGTCTGCACTTTTGACGCTTATTTGCACCCGTATTTGTTTTTGACACGAATAGGCTCTTCTTTTCGCGTCAAAGGCCTTTTAAACTATCGAACAGTTGGTCGCATACATTTACGATTGCTTGCATCACATAGTTATAAACCACAATTCAGTTGATGGATAAGGTGCAAGTAATGGAAGTATTATCGGGACATCTCTAGGTTATATGCTTCCAGTGCTGCATTATATATATATGTATATGGAACAAGCCTTCCAATTGTGCGTGGTTTGAAGTCACGGGGCGTAACTGATTTGAGCAAATTATTCCGATTGTTGGAAGATAGCCCAGTGACAGCTCTGTGTCAGATAGCCAAAGCGTTTACTTTTCGTTGTCATCCCGAACACACCGAGTCCTCTGTTACACCAGCACGCTTGTCATTCTGAAATTATTTGACACCTTATGGTCTCTAGGCAACGCATTCTCCCCTCCAATTAACTTGCCACATCGTCTTTAGGTGAGCGAAAGTCAAGCTTCAGACGACTACCATCAAAACGTATCTGCCATCCCAATCATGTGCAAACCCTCAAGATAATTTCCTAAGAACTGCTCCCGTCGCCTCGCTTCAGTTATTCTAACGCCCCCATATATTATACAGCCAGTGAAGAACAGCTGAAGGAAGTAATTTTTGCGCTTACTGGATCTACAAAGTTTTCTATAAGAGCCAGCTCAGTAATAGGGACGATTTGAAGTTCTAGGCTCAGGATGTGAATCGCAGTCATGCCTTATTTCAAACTTTTTTCAAATCCTGTAATTCCTCTTCGCATATTTATCCCATTTTTAAAAAAATGACATATTTCCCCCTACTCCAATTATTAGGCAGACAACGGAGTCTCAAAACACACTTAAAATTAAGTCTTTTGGAAAGAGCGCGTTACACTTACAAATAAGTTATCATGGTAGCCTACCTGCCCCTGAAAAGAACTACAAGAAAGTACCAGGCAGCCTTTCCGGATTCGGGCTTCACTGTTACCAAAACAGAACCGGTAACAGCGTGCGGCCTACCAGCCTTGAGCGCGAAGAAATCTTCCAACAAAAGGTCACGAAGAACGCTGCCTACTTTCGCCTGTTTCGATACCTGATGCCACTTATAATTTTTACCTCGATCCACACGATGTGGCAGATTTCGGTTGTGATGCAATGCCTTATTCGGCACCGCCAGCCAATTTTTCACCATTCTTTATGAAATAATAAGATGGACTCATTGTTCGAGAATGTGCTTTCATAACAAAAAGGAAGTTAACTCTCTGTCTGCTATCAAGCATGGCCGTAGTGTCACTGACCGACAAGAACAAAACCGACCCGGAAAACTTGGGCAAAAGCCTCGATCCTGTGCATCAATCCGTGAATCCGTGAATCCAATAGTGGTAATATTAATATTTTTATTTCCAAAGTTATGGGGGAAAATTCCTATTGTGGCATGAACACGGTGAGCCGACTTCCACTTCAAGCATCTGGGCTCCAATAATCGATCTCAGACTTAGTCACCGTAAGCGTTCACAGCGCCGGGGACAGCGCTTCTGCTCAGTTTTTCCAAATGTTTACACCCGCAGTTACCACCAACCATATTATGGCTCGACATCTAAATTGTGAAGCGTAGATTCTCCGAATCTTCGCTTTAAGCTGCGTTGTGCCAAGCTGTGTACAGAATGACAACCAATGACCCAAGATTGTTCGGCCTCATGCTCAAAAATAGATGATCCGAACCTACTGGATTGTTCGAAATGTTCGGAATTTTATACTTGACCACCAGCGACCTAAACTAATTTGTTTTACGCGCTCTCCGGGCTACATATCCGCCAAATTCGTGCGTGTTTCGGATTGGTACGTCTTTTCCGTCCGTCTTCTGGTTGCAATCGTAAGGTTAGCGTGTATGTATGCAGTGATTGTTCCAAGAAAACTTTTTTCCCTACTTGAATTGTGTAACCTCTTGAAATTTATTCGGATGAACGGTGAACTGTGTTTACTAACCTGCAGTTTTGAGAAGCTCACTTTAAAGTTAAGCATGTGATACTCTGCATTTTGTCTGGATGTAACAGATGACCTTACCAGGTGTTCGCTTCGGAATTTACATCTTCTGCGTCCTCCACGTCATCGAATGGGTGGGTATTTAGGATCGCGCAGCCTGGAAGAACAGGCACAGGAGTTGCTAATAGAAGCTGTTGATCTGGAAGGGTTTCGAGTTCAGGTTAGCAATGGCAGGGGACAGTTCGGTTGCAAGCTACATGGGTGCCCCTCGATGATCTCTCAGCTGATTAGATTACCGTCTCAATATCGGGGATCTTCGGTTTTCATAACCCTGTATGTTTCATCGGTCTGATGCATTGTTATCAATCTGAAGCGTCTCTAGATACGCTGGACTTATTGTAAGCTTAGAAACTGACGTACAGGTCTCAGTGCCCCCCGTGCCACATATGTTCGCGAATCCTGTCATTCCTTGTTGAGCTAGATATTCTGCCTGCGCTCGGCGTGTTCAACGTGAGGTCGAAGTTAAGCTGCGACCAGGCTGTTATAGTTGCATCTTCCGCTGGTCGTATGGCTTGCCGTAATTGGGTCAATTTATTATACTGATGCTGGTTGCCCTCATTTATGTCTTGATCCACTCATTCTGTATTCAATCTGCCTAGACTGGTATGCGACCAGATAATACGACCTGGGGGTAACGGCTTGTGACCTTTATCTCTGGCGAGGAGCAACCCGTTCTCCCGAAACCAGTTGATTGGGCTGGGAATTCGCTTGGGCGTCGTGAGGCTTGAGACGGCCCAGTGGTTAAGGTGCGAAATTACTGAGGGAAAGATGCGTATTTCGAAACCAGCTCCGGCATCTCGACCGCTGTCTAGAACTGGACCATCTGACAATATCTCGGCTTCCGTGTCTCCTTCGGATGGCGTCTCAGATGGGCACCGAAAAGGTGATACATCAGAACGATTATTGTTTATCTATTTTTTGTTCGCTACGTGGTCACGGCCTTCCAGAGCTTAAAGCCTTCGGTACCAAGCATATGAGGGGATTTAAGGGTCGCCGGGAGGTCGTTATTGAAAGCCAATGGGGGTAAGAACATCAGGACAGAGTCTTGTACACCACAGGTTGATAGCAGTAGTTATGTAGAGCCCCGCAGATGCAAACAGCTATTCGATGTTCCATATAACACCGCATCCAGGTTAGGTCCTCGTTTCTCGTGTATCACAGGATGTTACACTCCGAAGCCCGGATAAATGATTTTCAACTCATTCGGTATCTAGCTCTAGTCCAGCTATCGTTCGTGAATAGGGGGTTGAATAGATATGGTCATCTGCGCCCGGACTATTGTCGGCCTTCCGAGTTGTTTTGGCATTCCACGTGAATTTGGTCAGCGTAAATGGATTCTGCAACATTTGAGAGGGTGGGATAGGGAGTGATTAGCCTGTGGTTGGGAGTTAGACCAGTTACATCTTGTAGATGGACGTGATGACACCATCTTTCCGTTGATCTGGGACGCTGATCCGCAGAGGCGCAACAAACTCGCTGGCCGGGGGAGACTCCCGCGGTGGCGTTTTGAGTTTGTGTCGAACTGCTGCAGTGGTGAATGTGGTGGAGATTGCATCCATCAGGCGAAATGTTGACGATGGGCGGCATCGTGTCGGTGCTGGCTTCAGAGACGGGTACAATCGCCAGATTTGGTATCCACCAATTCCTTCAATTTGAATATCAGAACGTTTTGTCTGGGTGGTAGGTATTCCCTGTATGATCCTTCTCAGATTAACTTGCCTTCAAATGAACTTCGGGTTGCCAATGAACTAGGTAGATAGGTTGATCCACAGCCTTTCCTGTCATATGGATCGAGAGGTTCAGAGATTTCTTACTCGTACAGTCCGGACTATCCCATAACATTCAGACTCATGGCCTAGTCCCGTTCGGTCCCTAACTGTATTCTGCCCCTACTACAGCAATTTGCCAGCCCGATAAACATCTACTTCAAGTCAGGGACACGGTTTCAGTAATAGAAAGTTCAGTAGAGATGATGCTTAGTCCACTAGCTGGCTTTTTAAAAACTTCCAGCTCTCCCTGTAGGATTAGCGGGCAGAATTTAGTATGGACTCGATACTCGTTTTCGTCTGTCGTCCCGTATGTCACTTAGTCAAGGCTTAGGACTATGTGGTAACTGTTGCCAAATGATGCTTGGTAGGTGAGTCAATTACTGGCTTCTCGAATACGGGGAAACTGACGCCCTGGAAGTGGGTTGGATGGTTCGTATGGTCGAACAGTGTGGAGGTCTGGGCAAAGTGCGAGTCACTTGTGGTCGTCCATCGAAGTTCACCGCACCGTTGTCGCGTGTCCTCGCCTGATGGAGCTCCGAAGTCAGGTCCAAGTTTCTTTGAGGTGGACATGACAGGTTCCAGGAGGTCCCTGTTAATCTGAAATGTCCGGTTTTTTGCACCGGAGTTGTCTGGAGTAGTTCATGCGTCTCAGCATTCTAATAATCCATGGAGGATATGCGTCGACTCATGTATGAAGATGCTCTGGCATATAATAGGTGAAAGCAGAATGTTTTGAGTCTCTTGAATGAGATAACGCCGCACATATAGCCATTACCAACGATCATCAACGTAGAGGGCCGCCGAGAGAACAAAGTAAGAAGGTAGTGGTAGAAGGGGATAAAGGCAAGAGATAGATGTAATACAAACTCAGTGGAATCATGAAAACCTATGACCCTGACCTGCTGAGCGTAGCCGTATAACTTAACATACAGCGCGTCAGGAAATGCAGGTGATCAGGCGGCATCCTGCTGTTGCTTGAAACCGAAAATCGTGCTGGCCTGGATTACTGTCTCAGCTGGCCTGTTCTAACGGTTAACTATTCTGCTATGGAATTAGCTTCTCTAGACCAGATATGCTGTACATTTTCAAGTTCGCGTGGCGCCATAACCTCTAGTATGACATCACTCTCTTTACTAGCTTAATTATTTTGGAGATTTTTGCCACTTTACCTGTTAACTTTGTACTCACCATTGAAAACGCTGAGGAACTTCAGACGACCCTCTATCCTTTAGTTCGCAATCCAGGGGACAGCCTCGTGAAACAAAGTTGCACCATACCAGTGACCGGGAATCTCTGCAGGCATGGAGTCCGGGCATAAACGGCAAGCGCAAGCTGTGGCCTGACAAATGCACAGTGGCGGGAGAACATTATCATCATCATCACCATCAACAGCATGACATCAGTGTTCAACACCGATGCTTCACTGCCGTACAACTATGACCTATTTGAGAGCCTTATTGTAAAGAAAAGAGTAAAGGTAGACGGGGAAGGGACTTAATGCTAACTTAGCACACTCATTCCGAGGTGCCTACACCTCCAGACATTCACT